CCTAGACCACAGGAGTGCTCCTGCACCCTTTGGCACTGTCCCAGCTGCCCGCTGGCTACAGCCACATTAAGTGTGACCCACACTAGGCTGTGGCTCCATTCATGAGAGCAGAGACTCAGGCAACTTGGTCACTGAATGCCCAGCCAGCTCCTCCCTCTCGGATGGCAAAGAGAAGCACTGGGCACCCCTGACTTCCCCAGGACCCATACCCCGCTTCCTCACTCCCTCCGTCCACCATGTTCCTGGAAGAGTGCTTGGCATAGAATAGGGAGAAATTCTACTTTGGAGAGTTTCAAATGGTGCGAAGATCACATGACTCCCAAGAAACAAGTGCAGCCTGAGGAAGAGCAAACCACCCAAGTTCTCCTTCCAAGATCCCATGGCTCTGCTGCCCCTGACGCTCCCTGCAATTTGCTGGAAAGCTCACCTCGAAACGTTGCTAAGCCCCTCTCACCCCCACATTCACCTGCTCTTGGTGCAGACTCTGGATCTCCTGTAGGTCCCTCTGGTTCCCCTCCTCCAGGTTCTTCCGGACCATCTCAGCTCCGGCCAAGGCGGCACGCAGGCCCTCAGCCTCAGCTTGGCCAGCCTTCTCGGCCACCGCAAGAGCATCCAGCTCCATGGCCTGAGCCTCCAACCTCATCTTCTGCTGCAGGGAGGTCTCCCGCAGGGTCCGGACCTCCTCCTCCAGCCGTCGCAACTCTTGGAGCTGCCAAGAGATCAGCTCAGCCTGCTGGCTCAGGGCACTGGAGACCCCCAGCTCCAGAGACCTTCAAAGGAAAGACAGGTGGGCCCAGCTGAGACGTGGCCTTGGTAATGCCGGGAGGGTGGACACAGCAAAGAGAATAGTAACCCTCTTACTTTATGCAGGGAAGCAGGGGCGAAAGCTGAGGCAGGAGGATCTCTACATTCACACCATCACCTATCAAGTCCCTACTAAGTGTGTGAGGTCCACTTTCTGGGCTCAGGGGACCTAAGGGCTAGTGAGACCCAGTGAGGAACACAATCTCTCTAGAGATCCATTCGTAAGCACACGGATTAAACACCAAACGTGCACATCAGGGGGACTACACATTCCAGTGCACGCACGGGTCTGGGTTCTCAGCTGGAGGGCAGTGAAGGGGTGGGGGGACTACACATTCCAGTGCACAGGTCTGGGTCCTCAGCTGAGGGCAGTGAAGGGGTGGGGACTACACATTCTGAGTGCACGGGTCTGGGTCCTCAGCTGAGGGCAGTGAAGGGGTGGGGGGACTACACATTCCAGTGCACAGGTCTGGGTTCTCAGCGGAGGGCAGTGAAGGGGTGGGGACTACACATTCCAGTAAACGGGTCTGGATCCTCAGCTAAGGGCAGTGAAGCGGGGGGGGGGGGGGGGGGGGGGGGGGACGACACGGACTACACATTCCAGTGCATGGGTCTGGGTCCTCAGCTGAGGGCAGTGAAGGGGTCGGGGGACTGAGCTTCTGGTACCAAGTGTTAACTACAGACCTTTTTGTTGTTCCATTTGAGACAGGGTCTCATGTAGCCCAGGCTGACCTTGAACATGATACATAGCAGAGGCTGGCCCAGCACTTGGGATCCTCCTGCCTCCACTGCTACACTTGTGCACCACGGCAGGCGTGTGTGTGTGTGTGTGTGTGTGTGTGTGTGTGTGTGTGTGTGTGTCTGCACACATACCCACACATAAAACACATAAACGTAACAAAATTCAAACATAAAGTCACTCGGTTTTCTGGCGGTCTCTTCAGTTTCCCTTCCGACCACTCTGGTGTCAGCGGTGGCCGTCCCTAACCCTGCGCTATGCTGGCGCACGGCACTGGTTTTCTTCAGGACTCTCCCGTTGTAACTGGGTCTACGGGGATGCACCACTACACCCCACCTTTGGGTGCAGGCTTTCAATGAGGGTTTGGTACCGTAGAATATTATTTTAAGGTGTGTTACTTTTGTTTATGTTGCATTTGTTTAACTCTGTGAAGCTGTGTGACTGTGTCTGTCTAACACACCTGAAAGTCTAATAAAAACCTGAACGGCCAATATCGAGGCAGGACAAAGGATAGGCGGGGCTGGCCAGCAGGGAGTATACATAGGAGAAAACTGGGAGGAGAGGGCTAGCAGCCAGAGGAGGGAGGACTCCAGGGGCCAGCCACCCAGCTACACAGCCAGCCACGGAGTAAGTAAGATTTACAGAAGAAAGAGAACAGGAAAAGCCCAGAGGCAAAAGGTAGATGGGATAAGTTAAGTAAAGCTGGCAAGAAGCCAAGCTAAGGCCCGGCATTTATAAGAATAAGCCTCCATGTGTGATTTATTTGGGAGCTGGGTGGCGGGCCACCCAAAAAAGAGTAAAAAAACCAACAACAACAGTTTGGTACTTTGTACAGGGAGTCTGGGGGTACTCCATCGACAAATGACTCAGTGTTGTGCATGTCTAAACTAGCTTGTGTGAGGGCTCCTTCCTGAGGTAGCACCCTCCCCTAGTGAAATGACTCGCCGCAGTTCCCTAGAATCTGTCTGGCATCCCCCTCTGTCGTCATGCTTTATTCCCTGAAGAGCTGCAAAACGGCATCCAGTCTACTGGGAGAAAGACACACAAAACAACAGAAGTAACAACTCCCACTCACACACAGGGGCTGAAGCGAAGGCTCCAGAGTGCTTGCTGCTCCTGCAAAGAACCCCAGCTCGGTTCCCAGCTCCCACATGCAACGGCTCACAGCTGCCTGGAACTCCAGTCCAGAGAACCCTACACCCTCTTCTGGTCTCCAAGTATGCATGCTCACACACAGAGACATGCACATAAATAAAAGTAAAATCTTGGTTTTTGTTTTGTTTTTTCCCCAGACAGGGTTTTCTCTGTGTAGCCCTGGCTATCTGGAAACTCACTCTGTAGACCAGGGAGGAGCCTTAAACTCAGATCCACCTGCTTCTGCCTCTCTAGTGCTTGGATTAAAGGCAGGCCATGCCCTGCTCAGAAATAAAATCTTAAAACACATAGCCGGAGCATAGCCAGCTCCAGTATGCCGCTGTACCGGGTCAGCATGTGTAAGCTGCATGTCATCTCCCATTACAAAAGCTTCTGGGCAATCCATCTCCTCTCTTAGACATTCACATTCCCTGTTAGCTGTGAATTTAAATCCAGAGCCTCTCCATTTTGTTACCCCAGTGAATATGGTCTATGTACCAACAACGGCCTACAGAAAACCTACAGAAAAATGGAACCCAGGGACTGGAATATATGAATACGTATGTAAAGGATCATGTGACAGACCCCTACCTGCCTCTCCGCGCAGGCCCCTGTGCATCTCCACAAACGTCCTGTTCCCACAGGGTCACTGTAGGTCTCTGAGTGTCTAGCCGCCTCTCTAAGACATCTTGGCCAGCCCTGGATTGGATCAGGGGAATGTCTGAAGCCCAGGTCGGGGCCGATCTTGGCAGAGTTGGAAGGGACCGAGCTTGGAAGTGGGAGGGAGGAACCAGCCCAGCAAAACCTGAGGGGGGGGGGGTGTCACAAGAGTAAAGACTGTCAGTTTCTCAGACAAGAGCGATCCCCAGCCTCCTTGACCGGCCTCGCTGACCTGAAGGCGGCAACATCTCCACGCTATCTGAAGCCTCTAGATGTCTCCAGGCATCTATGTCCCCCTGGACAATAGGAGAAACAAGGACACTCCAATTCAGTTTTCAGGCCACCTTCCAAAGAGAAAGCCCTACAATAACAAAGTCATAATCGTTGAGTTACTGACAGATCCGCCCAGGCTCTGAACCTCTCTTTCCCTACTTCCCTAAGAATCAGAGGATAAGCAAACCACTTGCTTGTCCCAACCATGCTCCTGACAGACCGAACCATGAGGTAAACGTACCGAGATGGGAACCAGGGGGTGCTCTTGGGGATTGCTTCTACTTACAGGATTCTGGGGGGGTGCCTTTACCTTCCTCCTTAAGTGTCTATGGTCCCTGCAGCTTGGGGCTGGAGGTGAGAGGGCCCGCAGGGAGCCCCGTCTCCACAGGTCTCGCCATGGTATGGTAGGGACGCTGGGAAGCCCATCTAGGCACCACCGAGCCATGATTTCTGGGTCATTTCCTATTAAAGCGTTAGCCCAAGGCCTGGCCCCACAAGAATGCGGCCACATGTGGGGTTAAGCGGTGTCCCTAGGATCCCTGGGGAATCCAAGCAGCCCAGAGCCCGTGGCCAGGAAGCCAGCTTCCTGCTATCTTATCAGAGCCTCTCTGTAGCCGGCCTCAGTTTCTCTCCATCCCTTCTGCTTCCACCCCCTTCTCTGTTCGGCGTCCTACAGCATCTTCTTTGTCCAACTCCCACCCTAATTCAAATATGTTTTCACTCAACCCCGAGATTGATTCCTACCCGCTTCTCTTTCTAGTACTAGTCTGCATTTTTCTTGACCCAATTAAGCCTGGTCGCTCCCTCTCCTCCTGCCTCCCCCTGCTCCGCTGCACACACCCCTGGCTCATCCCCCTCAGGACTCTGAGCTCTAAGGCTGCCTTGACCCCCTCATCTGTTCTTTGACCAGGATCCTGCACCCGCTTCCCCTGTGGACCCCCTCCACCCGCCCTAGCACCCCCTCTCAGGCCCTTTCCGCCCCCAACCGACTCCTCCCGAACGCCCCTTACCCAGCGCGAGATCCGCCCTCTCGCCACGCCCCTCACCCAGCTCCCCGTCTTGGCTTCACACCCTGACCACGCATGCGCGAAGCGGGCGGGTTGGCGGGCTGCTCCGGAGCACCCTTGCTCCCCTGCCGGAAGGAGGAAGAGGAAAGGTGCACGCTGGCACCCGGACGGACGCCTGAGGCCTTCTCCGCGCCCTGACGGCCCCGCCCCACCCCGGGAACCCGGGAAAATGTGCAGGCCAATCAGAAATGGCGGAGGGCGGGAGCTAGACAGCTCCTCCCTGCACGTCGTCCAATAGAGCGGAGGAGGGCAAGGCGGACGGCCAATCAGGACCAGCCGCGGGAGGGGCGGGCTCGCAGGCGCGAAGCGGGACCCGGGAATTGCCTAGGAGGAGTCTGCGCGGCGCGCGCGCCCAAGCCGCGCCCTCCGGGCGGCTTCCTGGCTGTCAAACCGCGGCGGGAGCGAGGGGCGCAGGGTGTGCAGTCCCTTCCTCAGTTTACCCCGCCAGCGGAAAAAGGAAAAAAGGGTGAGATCCACTTTGCTGCAGAACTAGGGACCTGTCTGCGCCTCCCCTTGTGGGTGACAGCGGACTCACTTCCCTCGGGGGAAGGACAGAAGGGGTGCTCTGCTTGGGTTAAGAAGTTTGACCAGCAGCTTCCCGGCTCCTGGTTACACTTGAGGGGACACGTTCGTGTCGCACGCACGTTTGTGTAGCAGGACCTCCTCACCCGGTCTGCATGTTCCCAGCTGTCGCCTTAAAGTAGCTTTGCCTTGCACAGATTGTTAAAGCCTCCGGATGTGCTGCGGCCCGAGGATCCGGCTTCGCGGAGGTGCCGCAGGATTATCTTCTGGTTTTACATCGCACCAGGGCTCTCCTGGAATTGCTTTCTAAGTCTCATCTTGACTGCCACTGCCGCACTGCATGTCCAGGCCTCTGGGGCTCTGAATCTGCACTTCTCAAGTCGGCATTACCCACAGTACAGCTGTCGGCGTCAGGACTGAAGGCCGGCCACGGTGCCTGGCCCAGGAGTAGGAGAGGTGATGAACTGCTGAGGTGCTGGGAGAGGTGCAGAGGGGGCACCCCCCATGCTGCCCTGCTTCCAGCTGCTGCGCATAGGGGGCGGCAGGGGCGGTGATCTCTACACCTTCCACCCCCCGTCCAGGTCAGGCTGCACCTATCGGCTGGGCTGCAGGGCTGACCTGTGTGATGTGGCCCTGCGGCCCCAGCAGGAGCCGGGCCTCATCTCTGGGGTCCATGCAGAGCTGCATGCTGAGCTCCAAGGAGACGACTGGAGGGTCAGCCTGGAGGACCACAGCAGCCAAGGTAAGGGTGAGCAGGCAGCCCCGGGCTGGCAACAAGTGTGGGAGCCTCTGGGACCCTGCTACCTGCCTCCCAGGGTCCGTGGCAGTCTCTGGAGAGCAGACAAGCAAGATCAATTCTGGTCAGCTCTTCACAGGACTAACCTGCCTGGCTGGTTTAGTTCACACAGGGCTAGGAGGGAGGTGCCATCAGTAAAGTGTCACTGTGGGACATTCTAGTACTCGGCTCAGACTTGACAGTTTCCAGTTTTGCTGAAGCACCTTGTTCCCATTAAGGCGGTGTTCTAGTGACCTAGGCATTGTGTCCCAACTCAAAGCAGCCTCAAGAGGCTGGGGTCCACAGTTCTTCCTTCTCCAGTTCTAGTTTCCCTATCAGGTCAGACACAAGGTTTGGAGAACCTGAGGTGTTTTGGTATTAGTGAGGCTTACTCTTAGGGGACAGGCCCTACAGTGTGTAGATGTTTACAGCCAAGGATGACAGCAGGAAGCAAGTGTGGTGATGTACCTTGTGATCTTAGCACTTCAGAGGCTGAGGCAAGAGAATTCTGAGTTCTGGGCCAATCTAGGATACAGATTCGGACTGCCTCAAAAAGAACCAGAGTTGCGTAGTGGTAGATCTGCTTCAAGTAGGAGCACAGCAAGGAAGCTTTCCATCCATTTCTGGGCGAGAAATATACACTGTGGGGCCTCAAGTTTAATGCCCGCCCCCATGCTCCCCTGCAAACCAAATGGCAGAATCACGGTACTTCTCACTAGACATGTTTCTGTTGTCTTGTGCCTCACCATCAACAGGGACTTTGGTCAATAATGTCCGACTCCCAAGAGGCCACAGGCTGGAGTTGAGCGATGGTGACCTTCTGACCTTTGGCCCTGAAGGGCAAGCAGGAACCAGCTCCTCGGAATTCTACTTCATGTTCCAACAAGTCCGGGTCAAACCTCAGGACTTTGCTGCCATTACTGTCCCTCGGTCTCGGGGAGAAGCTGGGACTGGTTTCCAACCCATGCTGCCCCCCCAAGGGGCTCCCCATCGGCCACTCAGCACCCTGTCCTCTGCCCCCAAGGCCACACTGATCCTCAACTCCATCGGCAGCCTCAGCAAGCTGCAGCCGCAGCCCCTCACCTTCTCCCGGGGTGGTGGCAGACCACAGAGCCTGGCTGTTCCCACCCAGCCTGCAGAAGTGGGGGCTTCGCCCGCTCCACCCACAAGAAACCGGAGGAAATCGGCTCATAGAGTGTTGGCAGAACTAGATGATGAGAGCGAGGCTTCCCTGGGCCCTCTCTCAGTCCTTATGGAGCCCAGGAAGAAGCTCCGTGTGGAGAAGGCCGCTCTGGTGTCCAGTGGGTAAGTTGAGTCCTGAGCATTGTCTACCATGCACCTGACTTAGCAGGGTTGAGTCCAGCTGTGTACATAAAACACCGTTAGCCCCAGCTCTTTGTAGCTGAGGCACAAGACAGGATTGACAAGTATGAAACCAACCTGGCCCATACGGAGACCCTGTCTCAAAAACTAGAGTGAGCAGGTCAACTCAGGATGCCCTACGTACCCTCAGAGGCAAGAAGAGGGGCGTTGGGTCCTCTGGAACTAGGGGGATGGTTTTTAGCCACTATATAGGTATTGGGATTCAAACCCAAATCCTCTGGAAGAGCAGCTCTGAGCTGTCTTTCTAATCCTATTTGCTTATTAGTTTTTGACACAAGGTCTCACTGTGTAGCCCAGGATAGCCTCAAATTCCCCAGGTAAAGGAACAAGTCAGGATAGGGCATTCAGAGTGGAAGCTGAGGGGACCAGTCACTCCTCAGCTGGGATTACAGGTGTCGTTTTGTGTGCTCGTCATGCATCCTGAGCCCCAAGTTCCCACTTCCCGCTGGCCTTTAGCCCCCTTTGTAAGGCTGTGCTAGCTAGGTGTAGCAGTTACCCAGAAGCAAGGTCTGCCAGACTTCAAGTTACTCAGGAACACTCCCAGGACTCCCTGGAGTTAGGAGTGGGGACCCCTGTACAGCCCCTTGATGCTGCCCATTACAAGAAGACAGTAGTCTGGGTTTGATGTGATGGCTGGTACCACGTGGCCAGCATTGACTGTAGCATCCAGGCCACCCAAGGATGCCATGTTGGTTTCCAGACCAGAGGACCCTGAGAATGGATCTTAAGGGCTGGAATGGTAGAATGATCGAGAGCGCTCAGTGCTCTCACAGAAGACCTATGTTCAACTCCAGTCCCACGAGATCCAACCACCTCTCCTGGCCTCTGGCCACCAGGCACACATGTATACATATATATATACATATACATATATATATGTATATATAGGCAAAACACTCATTTTTTAGAAAAGAATAGATCTTAAGAAATGTCTCCTTTCTCCCAAGGAGGGAATGACCACAGGGGAAAGTGCCTTGCTATAGACTGACTCAAGGCTGGAGAACCCTCATGATCGTTGAGGTGGCAAAAAAAGATGGTTCCTGCCAAAGATGTGGCTGCCTGCCGCCAAATTACCAGTGAGCTGGGATGCCCAGTAACCAGGAATAAAGCCTTGTTCCCATGGACACCGGAGTATTCGCAGTTAGAGCAACCATCACAGAAACCGCCCCAGACTGCCTTATGCCATGGCTACTGCTGCCGCTGACTGAGTCTCCGTGACTGGCTTTTCAGAGCTTTGCCTTTATATCAAAATAAAGAATAAAATGCTTCATCCACATAGGAGTATTTATTCTTACGAGTCTAAGTCTGCTTTCCAAACGGTGGGAAGCCTAGGCTTGCTGTGGTCTACAGATGGAATTCCCCACAGCAGAAGCCCCTGTGGGAACCAACTGGACCTTGGTGTCGAGAAAGCACAGGGCTGGGAATGAAAGAAACGGCTGTGTGTAGAGGCACTTGCTGCCAAGCTTGATGACCTGTGCTTAATTAATCCACAGGACCCACGTTACGAAAGGAGAGAAGCAACGTTCACAAGTTGTCTTCATGTTGTGGCACTCACTCAAATATTCACACACATACATACTGTTTTAAAGTTGAGTGTGGTGGCATACTACTGTGTGTTCCAGGCCAGCTTGGTCTACAGGAGGTCCTGTCTTCAAAGCAAAACAAAACACCACATACAAAGGGTAGAGTTCTGGTGGGGCTGACATGCACCAAAAAACACTTCAAGACTTAGTTTTTAGGTGGGAGAGATGGCTCAGCAGTTGGCAGTTAAGAGCAATGGATAGCCTTTAATCCCAGCACTCTAAAGGCAGAGGTGGTCCTGGTCTACAGAGTTCCAGGATAGCCAGGCTATGCAAGAGAAACCTTGTCTAGGGGGCGTAAAAAAAAGCAATGGCTGCTTTTGCAGAGGACCCAGGTTTGGTTCCCAGAACCCACATGGCTGCTCACAACCTGGAACTCCAGGGGAACTCAATGTCCTCTTCTGTCCCTTTACACACAGTGCACAGACATACATGTAGAAAAAAAAAAAAAGCCCCAAAGACACCCATACAGATAGAATTTAAAAATTTTTTTTTTTTTTAGCTGGGCATGGTGAGACCTTTAATCCATCCCAGCACTCAGGTCAGCAGCAGGCTGATCTCTGAGTGTAAGGCCAGCCAGGGCTACACAAAGAAACCTTGCTTTGAAGAAAGAAAAATAAAAACAATTTTTCTGAAGACTTAGCTTTTCTTAGCTTGAGCCCACTAGGACTTCCAGAGTGACATGGGGAAGCGCACTGCTGGTGAGGGGTGGCTATGAGGTGACTATTCCATCTGCTGGCAGATATGATCAAGTAAAGCCTCGGCCAGTAGGTAATGTCTTCCTCTATAGGTTAGGTTCCAATCCCAACTATCCCTTGGGCATTTTGTAACCTCCAACTGTTTAAATGGCACCTCTGTTGGAGGACTCTGGGTATGAGGATCCATTACTGGGTTTCTCTATCCCCAGGCTCTCTAGTAACTAAAGGAAGACACAGTTTAGCTAGCTCATGTGTCCCAAGCTTTTTATTTAAAAACAAAATGATGAGTGATGGGCTCACGATCAACAGCATCACTGAACTTCATCTCCCCCCCGCCCTTTTTGTGGTTCTGATCCCTCCTCAGTAAAGGAACTTAACCCCAAAGCTGTGGTGGCTCTGGGTTCTCTATCTTTTTTCCCCTCGCCTCAGCTCACCTCATCCCCAGCAGGGCTGGCACCTCAGTTTGAATGCATGGGAGAGCCCAGAGCAGTGACAGGGACAGAGGGGAAGGCCTCACCCTCGGGAAAAGGGACTGAAGAGTAGAGTGTAGTGAAGTGTGGGTTCCCATAGCCTGGAGCACCAAAATGGGGCCCTGGGGGCCGTGGAAAGGATACAGGCCCCCCTGGGAAAGGAGACCCGGCCGCCTCATACTCTTCTCGTTGGGAATATTCGATGCTTGACCGTTTGCCCTTCTGGCGCCGGTTACAAAACCACACTCGGACCACCTAGGATGGATGGTAAAGAGGAGATGAGCTCAGGGATGCTGGAGCCAGACGAGGTCGGGGGAAAGAGCCGCCCTCAGTGAGGAGGCAGGTACCACAGGTCAGGATGCGGGCACTCACATCCTTCTCCAGCCCAAGCTGCTTGGCAATGACGCTAATCTGCTGCAGGGTGGGCTTGGGGCACTGCAGAAACATGTTCTCCAGGTTCCCCCGCACGCGGTTCTCAATGCTCGTCCGCTTTCTCTTGCGAGCCTGCATCAGGGTCTCTGCTTTGCAAATCTGGGCAGGAGGAGTAGAGGGATTGACAAGAGCAAGCTTAGGACCTGGCTGGGCAGCAACCCCACACTGAGGTGTGACTCAAGAGCAAATTGCTAAGGGATATTGACTGGATGTGGCCCCAGAGGCAGGGATTACTACAAGGAAAGAATCCTGGAAGGGGTGGGTGAGACCTAGATCTCAGCAGAAGGGGGTTGGGGGAGGGACCATGACACCATATTCCATCACGCTTGGGCTGCTAGCCTGGGATGAGAGTGACCCAGGAAGAGAGAACCTGATTAGCAAATGTTAAAGCTTTGGGTTCCAATCCTCAGCCCTAGAAGAAAAAAAAAGAGAAAAAGAAAAAAACAAGACACAGAACCGCTGCCTCTGGCCAGAGAGGGGTCTCAAAGGAGGAATGGAAGCCGTAGATGGGGTTGTACCTGGGAGACACTGTGACCACCCCAGGGGGCCCTCACCTCCTGTAGGTTCTCATTGTTATCGGCTTCCTCCACCCACTTCTCCAGCAGGGGTCGCAGCTTACACATGTTCTTGAGGCTGAGCTGCTGGGCCTCAAAGCGGCAGATGGTGGTCTGGCTGAACACCTTTCCTGAGGGGGAGACGGACAGGGAAAGTGAGGCAGCATGCAGGGCCCCAAAGACCCCCCTCCTCGAGAGCTCGACCTCTTGCCAGAGGCAGTCCAAGTGTCTAATCCTCTCCCCCTCTACAGAGGTGAGGGAGAAGTAGCCCATTAAACACCCTCCCTTTCCACCTACACTGAGAGCTGTGCCAGCTGTGTGTGAGGTCAGAACATGCTGAGGGAAACCCACCAAAGAGAACGCCCAGGGTGAGCCCTACGTCGGCCTGGGTGTACCCCAAGGTGATCCTCTTCTGCTTCAGCAGCTTGGCAAACTGCTCTAGGTCCTTCTGCAGGGCTTTCAGGTCCTGGGACTGCGGTGAGAGAGGGCTTGTGAGTCATACCAGCTGTCAATCTCTGCCTCTGAGATATCCACACACACACACACACACACACACACACACACCCCAAACCCCCGTGGTCGCTGAAAGGATCCCAGCACCCCAGGCTGCCCACTAAAATTAAATGTCACTCACTCTATCCCTAGGGGACAGGGGCGGCTCCTTCCCCAGCAACTGGCCACATCACTACCCAGAGTTCCATGCACTAGAACACCTGTCCAGTACCCCAGCAAATTCCTATCTGCTAACAAACTACTCAAAACAGCCCCATTGGTGAACTGTTACCCCAGTTTCAGTAAGTTTTAAGACGACATAAATAGCCAGGCACTGCAGAGCCAGCATTGTAATCCCAGCACTCAAGAAACATGCAGGAGGCCGGGCGGTGGTGGCGCACGCCTTTAATCCCAGCACTTGGGAGGCAGAGCCAGGCGGATCTCTGTGAGTTCGAGGCCAGCCTGGGCTACCAAGTGAGTTCCAGGAAAGGCGCAAAGCTACACAGAGAAACCCTGTCTCGAAAAACCAAAAAAAAAAAAAAAAAAAAGAAACATGCAGGAGGACCACATTAATAGTTCCTAGCTCAAAACAGAACCGAAGAGCATCAGATCCATGGGATTCTAAACTCAATACCCTCTCCAGCTTGCTTTGAAGTTCCCAAACTATGACACAGTACACGTGGGGATACTGAAACAGGGACTGGCTTGGTAGCCGCCGTCCTGCCCCAGTCTCTCCAGCCCTGGGATAGCAGGATCCACCACTCTGTTCAGCTGCTTTACAAACCACACACCACACAAAGTAGACAAATGCCCTGGTCTCATGAGCTGACATTTCAATATGTGAGGGAAAACCCTCGCTAACTGGAGTGCTGTGGAGGAAGCCAAGAGGGCAGGGTGTGCAGGTGACGACGGCAGTTAACGAGCCAGGTGGGCCTTAGAAGCTGAGGCCTTAGCAAACAAAACCATCTGACTCACGTTTTAAAACACGGATCTGGTGCTAGCCAGACAAACTGAGTTTGACCCCCAGAACAAACGCGGTGGAGAGAAGGCCTCTGGCGCCCACGGGTGCACGGTGGCAAGCATGCACACACAGCAGCACACAACAGATTTTCTTTTTAAAGATAAGGCAGTGGTAACGCACAACTTTAATCACAGCACTTGGGAGGCGGAGGCAGGCAGATCTCCTGTTCAAAGCCAGCCTGGTCTACAAAGTGAGTTCAGAGTAAATAAAAGCTAAAACATGGATTCCAATTGATGTATTAGCAACAGAATGGCACTCGCCGGTGTGTGTGGCTAAGGCTAGGGCAGACAGGGGTGGTTGGGACCAGGTGGGGAGGGCGCAATGGATGGTTGGTTAAAGTGTCCTTTCTAAGGAGCAGATACAGCCTGTGAGTGAACAGAACAAAAATGGCGGGAGGCATTGCAGGCTATCTCTACCCGGAGATGGAAAAGGAGGCGGTCCTTTGGTGATGCAAGTGAGCCTTGAGGGGAGGAGAGGGGCCGGAGCGGGTTGGCAGAGCGAAGGTCCAGGGCTGAGATCTGTCTTAGATGCTGCAGTTAAGGCTGGCCAACCCACGGGACAGAAGCAGCAGCCAGCGAGGCACACGCCCAGTGCAGTTCCGAATCCTTCCGGAAGGTGTTTCAATGGAAAGAGATTTTATCAGCTTCAAACAAACTGATTTTTATCTCCAACCGCTCCTCAAAGACCAAGTGCTCTCAGCTTCTCTAAATCCTGTTTTGTGGATTTGGAATAAGGTAAAGTACGGTTCAAGTTCCTTGCTTCAGTAAAGCCACTTAAGACATGAGATAAACTATACTGCCTTCGTAGGGGACTCCTGGTAGCTAAGGGGACGTGAGAAAATGCAGTAAACAGGCACTTAGGGAGGGGACTCCCAGTTCACTAATTGCTAAGAGGTAGGCTGGCATCTGTGTCCACTCACACCTTCGAGTCTAGATGGCTAATTGCTTACACTTGCTTCCAGGGCTGGCTGGAGGCCATCAGCCGCTCAGCAAAGCCTGTGCACCCACAGAATGATCTAGAAATGGCC